ATCTGTCTGGTTTTGACAGTAGAGTAATGCTGGCTTCAAGGAATAAGTTTGGAAGTATGTCATCCTCTCCTATTTTTTGGAATACTTTAAGAAGGATAGATATTAGCTCTTCTTTAAATGTTGGGTAGAACTCACCCTTGAAGCCATCTATTTCTGGACTTTTGTTTGTTGGGAGCTGTTTTATTACCAGTCAAATTTCAGTACTAGTAATTGGTTTGTTCAGATTTGCTGTTTATTCCTGGGTCAGTCTCAGAATCTCATATGTTTCTAGGAATTAATACATTTCTTCTAGGTTTTCCAGTTTATTGGCATATAATTTTTCATGGAAGTCTTTTATAACTCTTTGAATTTCTCTGGTGTTGACTGTAACTTCTTTTTTCATTTCTGATTTTGTTTATTTGTGTCTTCTTTTTTTCTTAATAATTTTGGCTAAGGGCTTGTCTATTTTGTTTATCTTTTCAAAGACCCAGCTCTTGGTGTCACTAATATTTTTCTGATGTTTTTTTAGCCTCTATTTTATTTATTTTTGCTCTGATCTTTATTATATCCCTTTTTCTGCTAATTTGGGATTTTGTTCATTTTTTCTAGGGCCTTTAGTTGTAGGGTTAGATTGTTCATTTGAGCTTCTTCTTGTTTCTTGAAGTAGGCCTGTATTGCTAACTTCTCTCTTGGAACTGCTTTTGTTGTATCCTACATATTTTGATCATTGTGTTTACTTTCATTGTCTCCATGTATTGTTTGATTTCCTCTTTGATCTGTTCATTGATCCACTGATTATTGAAAAGCATGTTGTTTAGCCTCCACATGTTTGTGTTTTTCTCCAGTTTTTTTCTTGTAGATTTCTAGTTTCATACCCCTGTGGTCTGAAAAGATGCTTGATACAATTTCAGTCTTCTAAAATTTGTTGAGACTTGTTTTGTGTTCTAGTATGGGATCTGTTTTGGAGAATATTCTGTGAGTACTTGAGAAAAATGTGTATTCTATTACTTTTGGGTAGGGAGTTCAGTAAATATCTGTAAGTTCATCTGGTCTAATGTGTTATGTAACACCTCTATTTCTTTTTTTAATTTTCTGTCTGTATGATCTATCCATTGGTTTAAGTGGGGTGTTAAAGTCCCCTACTATTGTGTTACTCTCAATTTCTCCCTTTAGGTCTGTCAGTATTTGGTTTATATATTTAGATGCTACTATCTTGGGTGCATGGATGTTTATTTGTGATTGTTATATCCTCTTGTTGGACTGATCCCTTTATCAGTATGTAATGTCCTTTTTGGTCTCTTGTTACTTTCCTTGTTTTGAAATCTATTTTGTCTGATACAAATATTGCAACTTCAGCTTTTTTTCATCCCTATTTGCATGGTATATCTTTTTAGTTACCTTCAGTTCCATAGTTTTTTTTAAATTCATTTACTCACCCTATGTCATTTGACTGACACACTTAAGCCATTTACATTTAAAGTAATTATTGATATGAGTGTACTTATTGCCATTTTGTTAAATCTGATTGTTTTTGTTTTCTGATCCTGTATTCCTCTTGTGGTCTTTTGTATTTTATGATTCTCTTTAGTGTTATGATTGGGTTCCCTTCTCTTTGTTTTTGTTTTTTGTGTATCTGTTATAATCTTTTGGTTCATGGTTACCATGGAGTTCTTAGATGACAGCCTATGAATATAACAGCCTGTAATAATCTGATGGTCACTTAAATTCAAACTCATTCTAACAGCACTATATTTCTCACTTGACCTCCACCACATTTGATATATATATCTTCTTTTACACCTTTTTATTAAGTGATTCTCTTAACTAATTATTAGATGTAATTGCTTTTGTTACTTTTATCTTTTTGACCATACTAGTTTTCAAGTAATTGAAGGTCTGCCTCTGCTAAATGTTTGCTCTTGCCAGTGGAGATTTTTCCCTTTCTTAAATTTCTTGCTTCTGCTTAGGGTCTTTTCCTGTTAAAGAAGTGCCTTTAACATTTCTTGTAAGGCTGGTTTAAGCAGTGGTGAATTATTTTAACTTATGTTTATCTGTGAAGCTCTTTATATCACCTTCAATTCTGAATGATACTGGGTAGAATATTCATGATTGGAGTTTTATTTCCATTCAGCACTTTGAATTATCATGCCATTCCCTTCTGGCCTGTAGAGTTTCTGCTGAAAATAAGCTAATAACCTTATGGAGTTTCCCTTATATGTACTTCATTGCTTTTTTCTTGCTGCTTTTAGGATTCTCTTTGTCTTTGATCTTTGACATTTTGATAATGATGTGTCTTTAGAGCTCTCTGTGCTTCCCGGACCTGGTAGACTGTTTCCTTCTTGAGGTTAGCGAAGTTTTCAGCTCTTACCTCTACAAATAAATTTTATACTACTATCTTTCTTTCTTCTTTTGGGACTCCTATAATACGGATGTTAGGACATTTGATGATGTCATCTCATAGCTCTCTTACCCTATCCTCATTTCTTTTAATACTTTTTCCTTCGGCTGTTCAGCTTGAATGCTTTTCATTATGTTATCTTCCAAGTCACTGATCCATTCTTCTGCATCCTCTAGCCTCTTGTTCATTCTCTCCAGTGTATTTTTTATTTTATCCATTGAATTTTTCATTTCCAATTGGTTTTTTTTTTAGATTTTCTCTTTTTTGAGGTCTGCCTTGAGTTCTACTATTATTTTCTCACATCCAGTGATTATCTTTATAACCATTGTTTTAAATTCTTTATCAGGTAGATTGGTTAACTCTGTTTCATTTATCTTTTCTTTTTTTCCTTGTTCTGTCATTTGCAGCATATTCCTCTGTCTCTTCATTTTGTATGACTGTCTATGGTTGGTTCTGTGAATTAGTTGAAAGGTCTTGCTTTCAGTCTTGAAGGATTGGCCTTGGGTAGGCAAGTCCCCTGTGTAGACTGCATGTGCCTCATGGTTCTGGCAAGCTGGAGGCTGAGTTAAGTGTGAGACAAGCATTTTCCTGGTCCTGGGGCTCCCAGGACGTGGTTTTGGGGGCCCTTTGGAGGGGCTCCTGGGTGGATACCATTAAGTTCTGTGCTGGCAGGGGGATGTGGTGGGCCAGGGCTGCACTCCAGCTGAATCTCCTGTGCCTCCTCACCCTTATGCCCATGTGTGCTCTGGGCCACTTGGGACCACTGCGGAGAATTCCTGTGTTGGGTGTCCACCAGTCCTGTTGGCAGCATGGAGTCAGGCTCTGTGCACATTCCCACTTGGCTCCCAAGTGTTCTGGGCTCTTCCTCAGGATTCTCACATAGGCGCCCATGGTCTTACTGCCTAGCTCAAGCCCTGTGCATGCTCGGGTTCACCCACGGCCCCTTTGTGCTTCGGGCTGCTCTAGGGAATTCTGGCATTGGTGCCCACCGGGTCCCACTGTGACCTGGGATCAGGCCCAGCACACAGGTTCCCCCACTGTGCTCTGGGAGTTAGTTGCCTTGTGTGCACCAGCCAACAGATTTGTGCACCCTCCCTGTTAGCTGGGGGACTTTCCAGTCCTGCTGATGCGGGCTGGGCAGGTGGATAACAGCAGGCGGTAAGGCGGGATTATTAGATCGAGGCCCAGATCCCAGTCTCGGTCACACCAAGATGTGCAGAAAGGAGCACAAATGGTGACGCTGGCTGCCTTCTCTGATACGGGATTGCCGCCAGTGATTTCCTTGCCAAGTGGTGGATGTTCACTTCTGAAACTTAGCTTCTTTCACTTACAGTCTATTGCACTTCAAACTGCAAGGCTTTTTTTCCTCACCTCAGGGCAGGGAGTCCAAGCCTGGCTCTCCCAGTGATATCCCCACCCTGTAACTCCTTCTGGTGGCTATGCTGGGGGTGGGGTTCCTGCAGTTACTGTGTCTCTGTCTCTCCTGCCATTTTGAGCTTTTAAAAAAATTTGACCTTTTCTTCCCTTGTTGTACAGAAAGTGTTCACTTAGGTCTCCATTCTTTCAGGGTAAAATACTCTGTATATATGTAGATTTGGTGTGTAGGTGGGAGAAGGTGGATAAATTCAGGCTCTCTCTGTCATCTTCCCAGATACCCCTTCAGGTGTTTTTTTTGGTCATTGTTGTGGGGTTTACTTAGAAGAGAAAGATTGCAAAGCAGATTTTGAGTGGTGGTTATTTGAGGTTGCCCGAATACAGAGTTAGCCCAATTCTAATGGGAGTACAGGAATGTAAGCAAACAGCTAGTGTAAGGCACAAGCAGCAACACTGACTTCACAGAGATGACCTTGACACTGTGGCTTCAAGGATCCATTGGAATTCAAGAGCACAATGGCTGAGGAGCCACTGAACCATGGCATGCAGCCATGAAATTGCATGATGTATACCCTGCAGTTAGTGGGCTGTAGTGTTATATAGTGGGAGATGAGTCAGGAAAGATAGTCTGGGGTTCAAGTTATGGGGGGCCATGATTATACTTCAAGGACATGTTTTTCCAACTATATTCCTGAATCTCCTCTGAAGTGTCTGGTAGAAGTGAGTGCGTGGTTGGTGGGGAGGTAGAATGGACAGGGCTTCCAGAGCATCTGGTTTTGTTTTATAGGTCAGGCTTCCAGAAAATACTGATTAAAAAGGGGGATGTTGTTAAACAAAAGTTTAAAGATCATGACTATGGGTAATGGAGAACAAATAAGAATTCTTATGTAGACTAGTGACATATTCAGATTTGTTCATAAATCAGTGAGATACCTGGCAGCATTGTGGCACATGGATGGGGGCAGGTGGGGATACTGCCATGGGGAAGAAATGGAAAGCCTGAACAAAGGGCAATGTCAGAGAAGAAACTGCAAAAAACAGGATTCACAGAACTTGGCAGCTGACTGTGGAGAGGGACTGCTGAAGATGACATGAGGTATTGAAGCTACATGACTGAGTCAGTGGCGGTGCTGGGAGCTGAGGGCATAGAGGAGTGAAGTTTGAGGCCTGAATGGACTGTGGTCTTGGGACATTCCTTCTGTTTTCTAAGCTGGGCTTCCAGCCACAGAGCTTGCTCTCTTTGTTGCAGTGGCTCTGACCAATCTGGAAGACACAGAGAATGCCAGGAGAGCCTACGCAGAAGCAGTTCGCCTGGATAAGTAAGCTGCTCTGTTGGGGAGGGCTGGGCTCTCCAGAGCCACAAGGTGGCACCAGAGCACGGAGTCCACCCACAGGCCTGCTCTCTGTGGTCGCTGCACAGCAGGCCTAAGTGCGGAAGGCTGTGGTTCCTGAGCGCATGGTGGCACCGCAGGATCTGACACTGCCTGTTTCTGAGAAAGTTTCCAGCCTCAAGTTTAGCAGTGAGGAAGCCGGTGGAAGCCAGAGCTGGCAGTGGGCTTGAGTTGCTAATACCTGTGGGCTAGCTGGAATACCAGTTGGGACTCTGGGATTAATTTAATCTAAGATAAGCTTAACTCTCCTAGGATTTATTCCACTGGCACCTGCTAGGCAGCAGAGTAGGGAGCCCTTTTTCAGCTCTGCCCTGGTGGTCCCTGTCGAGGCCTGAAATGTCAGACTTGGTCCCAGTACCTGCACTGCTGTTCATAGGCGGTTGATTCCTTGGTTCTTCTCCACAGGCCCACACAGCATGTGTGTTCCCACCTTGCTGCAGAATGGTGAAATCTCAAATTATCCAGTTTTGTTTTGTTTTTGTGTAATGAGAAGGATCTTAAATGACTGTTTGTTGCAGTGTCAGCGCCATAGACTCTGTCTGCCACAGGTGTAACCCTCTAGTGAACCTGAACTATGCTGTGCTGCTGTACAACCAGGGCGAGAAGGGGGGCGCCCTAGCCCAGTATCAGGAGATGGAGAAGAAAGTCAACCTACTCAAGGACAGGAGCTCTCTGGAATGTGACTCGGAGGTATGTCTTCTGTTAGCTCACGGGGGTTATAAGCCACCTGTCAGGACACTTTTGAATCAAGCCCCAATATCCAAATATATTACCGGCTCATGGTTGTTGTGGCTTTCATGCCTATTTTGGCCTTAATGTTCCTGGTGGCATTGATTCTTCAATTAGTAATAGCCTGACACAAAACTTCTCTAGAAGAAAATAACAGTGAGAGGAGATTCAGGCTTCCTGAGTTACCTGTTGTGGGAAATACAGCTCATCTAGGTGGAGGGCTATTTGTAGCTTCCTCCCAGTTATCATATAGGAAAGGCGGGAGATTGGCCTAATAAAGCCTCAGACTCTAATTGTTGAATTTTGAGATCTTGCATGAACTCACTTGCTTTCCGCTAAGGGCAGTCTGTGCATGCACTCTGCCACTTGAGAATAATTCCTTGCAATACGTACTTCCTTCCTCAGATGCTGGTACCAGCAGACATTAAGTTCAGCTAAACCCCAGCGGGTAGGCTTGTCCTACAAGTCATACCTGTGACTCTTCTTTTCCTTCCCATGTGGCACAAGATGGTAGAGATGGCCCAGAAGTTGGGAGCTGCTCTTCAGGTTGGGGAGGCACTGGTCTGGACTAAACCAGTTAAAGATCCCAAATCAAAGCACCGGACCACTTCAACCAGCAAAGCTGCCAGTGTCCAGCAACCTCTGGGCTCTAATCAAGCTCTGGGACAGGCAATGTCTTCAGCAGCGGCGTTCAGGAAGCTCCCCTCAGGTAGGAGGCGACGAGCTCCTTGAAGACCTCGCTGGTACAAGTGCCAGCAAAGAGATCACAGTTTTGAGTGAGGCTTGCACTTTTCAGCTCAGAACATGTCCAATGTGGTGTTGCCTAGAAGGGAAAAAAGCCACAGGGTGGCCAAATTGGCACTTGTTTCCCTAAGGCGAGCTGTGTACTGGGTAACACTTCCTGGGGGCTTACTTGGATGGCCAGTGCAGTGGCTCTCTGTAATACGGGCATACCTCGTGTTATTGTGCTTTGCTTTACACTTCACAGACACTTTTGTTTTTATAAATTGACGGTTTGTGGCCCATGTCAAGCAAGCCTTTTGGCACCATTTTTCCAACAGCATCTGCTCACTTCATGTTTCTGTTCACATTCTAGCAATTCTAGCAGTATTTCAAAATTTATAATCATACTTGTTATGATCAGTGTTCTTTATGGTACTATTGTAATTGTTCTGGGGCACCACAAACTATGCCTGTGTAAGATGGCAAATTTAATGATAAATGTGATGTGTGTTCTGGCTGCTCCACTGACTGGCTGTTCCCTCATTTCTCTCCCTCTTCTTGGGCCTCCCTATTCTGAGACACAACATTGAAATTAGGCTAATTAACAACCCTCAATGCTTGTTAGTGTTCAAGTGAAAGGAAGAGTTGCATGTTGCTCACTTTAAATCAAAAGGTAGAAATGATTTGACTTAGTGAGGAAGGCCTGTCAGAGGCCAAGATAGGCCGAAAGCTGGGTCTCTTGAGCCGGGTAGCCAAGTTGTGAAGCAAAGGAAAAATTCTTGACGAAAATGAAAAGTGCTAGCAACTTCTTCCTGAACCCATCTACTCAAGAAAGGGAAACAAAAGCAAAAATGAACTCATGGGACTACATCAAACTAAAGTTTTTATACGGCAAAGGACACCATCAATAAAACAAAAAGGCATCCTACAGTATGGGAGAATATTATTTGTAAATGACACATCCGACAAGGGGATAACATCCAAATATATAAAGAACTTATATGCCTCAACACCCAAAAAGCATATAACCCAGTTAACAAATGGGCAGAGGAAATGAAGAGACAGTTCTCCAAAGAAGAAATTCAGGTGGTCAACAGATATGAAAAGATGCTCCACATCACTAATCATCAGGGAAATGCAAATTAAAACCACAAAGAGATATCACCTCACACCAGTAAGGATGGCCAGCATTGAAAAGACTAAGAACAACAAATGCTGGCGAAGATGTGGAGAAAGGAGAACCCTCCTACACTGCTGGTGGGAATGTAAGCTAGTTCAACCATTGTGGAAAGCAGTATGGAGGTTCCTCAAAAAACTAAAAATAGAAATACCATTTGACCCGGGAATCCCACTCCTTGGAATATACCCAAAGAATACAACCTCTCAGATTCAAAAAGACATATGCACCCCCATGTTTATCGCAGCACTTTTTACAATAGCCAAGATATGGAAGCAACCTAAGTGTCCATCAGTAGATGAATGGATAAAGAAGATGTGGTACATATACACAATGGAATACTATTCAGCCATAAGAAAGAAACAGATTCTACCATTTGCAACCATATGGATGGAGCTGG